GAATGAAATCTTGCCATTTGCAACAACGTGGATGGAACTAAAGAGTATTATGCTAAGTGAAATAAGTCAATCAGAGAAAGACAAGTATCATATGATCCCACTGATATGAGGAATTTGAGAAACAAGACAGAGGATCATAGGGGAAGGGAGGGAAAAATGAAACAAGATGAAACCAGAGAGGGTAACAAACCATGAGAGACTCTTAATCTCAGGAAACAAACTGAGGGTTGCTGGACTGGAAGCGGGGGTGGAAGGGATGGGGTAGTTGGGTGATGGACATTGGGGAGGGTAGGTACTATGGTGAGTGCTGTGAATTGTGTAAGACTGATGAATCACAGACCTGCACCCCGAAACAAATGATATAGGTTAATAAAAATTAAAAAAAATAAAAAAAAATCATCACACACACACAAAAAAAGGCGGGGAGTGGGTGGGGGGGGAAGATAAGCCAAAAAACAGACTCTTGACTATAGAGAACAAACAGATGGTTACCAGATGGGAGGTAGGTGAGGGGATGGGTGAGATAGGTGACAGGGGTTATTAGTACACTTACCATGATGCATACAGAGTAATGTAAATTATGAATCCCTACCTATATTATATACCTGACAATATAACACTATATGTTCACTTTATTGGAATTTAAAAATTAAAAAAAAAAAAAAAAATCAGACGTCCCCAAGGGCTCCCTTGTTCCTTCCAGCATGTGAGAACATAGTGAGAAGACCGCCATCTATGAAGCCGGAAGGAGACTCAGACACAATATGGGGCACCTTGGTCTTAGACTTCCCAGCCTCCAGAAGAGAAGTGCATTTCTGTTCTTTGTACCACCTAATCTATGGTATTCTGTTATAGCAGCCTGAACGGACTAAGAAACTGGTAATGGAGACATGGTGGTGCTGCTTTAACAAAGAGCTACAATGCAGAAGCAGCTTTGGAATTGGTTGATGGGTAGAGGCTGGAAGAGTTTCAAGCTGCTTGCTAGAAAAAGCCTGCATTGCTGTGAATGGACATTATGGAGGATTTTAATGAGGGCTAAGAAAAAAAGGAGAGCAGTAGAGAAAAGCCTTGGTTTTCTTAAACAATACCTAGTAATCCTGAATAGAGGTTGCTGGAAATGTGGACAGTAAGAGCTAGTCTGTGGAGGTCTCCGATGGTGATGTGCAATGTGGTATTGTAAATTGGAGGAAAGGCCATTCCGTGAGAGAGTGACAAAGAACTCTGATGGACCGTGTTTGTGTTCTAGTGTTAAATCCTAGTCTACCTTTCAACTTCTATTCAAGCATTGCTCTTGCTAGGAGATCACCCTTGACCTTGCAGTCTGATAGGAAAGCCCATTTTCTATGTTGGAATAGCATTTACCACACTGTAATGTACTAGTAACTTACTGCATGTTCCATCTCTGCTGAACTATAAGCTCAAAAAAAAAAAAAAAAAATCAAAGTTGGGAAGAAATGTAAGATAATTTTTAAAAGACCATGGGCTCAAAATACTTGCAGTGATGGAAATAAAAAAGAGGACTACATTTTCTTTATCCATTCATCTGTTGAAGGACATCTCAACTCCTTCCACAGTTTGGCTATTGTGGATATTGCTGCTATGAACATTGAGGTGCATGTGCCCCTTCCTTTCACTACATTTGTATCTTTGGAATAAATACCTAGTGCAATTGCTGGATCATAGGGTAGCTCTATTTTTAACATCTTGAGGAACCTCCATACTGTTTTCATAAGGAACAGCGCAGAGGTCCACAGGGGAAGGGAGGGAAAACCGAATGGGAAGAAATCAAAGAGGGAGACAAACCATGAGAGACTCTGGACTCCAGGAAACAAAGTGAGGGTTACAGAAGGGAGGGGGGATGGGGTAACAGTGTGATGGGTAGAGGACACGTGTGGTGAGGAGCACTGGGTGTTAAACACAACTAATGAATCATTGAACACTACATCAAAAACTAATGTTGTAATCTATGTTGGTTAACTGAACATAATAAAAAATTAAAGAGGAAAAAATGTGTAATTGCTCTCTCCCTCTCAAAACAATTATACAGGTTGAAAGTAGTCTAACTAGACATGTTTGATGCAGATAAACCAGTCTGTTTCAATACCAGGTTCTTACCTAGATCATGGTATTTAATAAATGTTTTTTCTCAGCAAGTTCAAGTTAAATGTATTTATTTATGGGCTAATTCCTTCTTTAAAAAATTCATACTGACACCTCAATAATCATAATGAGTTCTACAAAAAAAAAAAAAAAGAACTCTAGATGCCTCTTTAATTGAAAGTAGAAGGGACTGGAAATCTTGAAGCTGGAAAAGGGATAACAAGAACATAGCTTCAAATGACTTAACAGCCAACATATATATAGGGTTAGTTAGATTTCATTTCTAAAGCTTTAGAAAACTAAAACCACCTCACAAATGGTTCATATTTTGAACTTTACCAACTAGGTTGGGAAACTATTTTTCACATTCCCCCACATAAAGACTTTCTGAGCAAAGAACATTAGCTCCTGGGTTAAAGGATGACTGAATGACAAGGTTACCTTAGAAGGCACACAATGTATTGCTCTGGAAGGACTTAAAGTATCCTTACCCCTGGAAGCCATGGGTTTACATTCCAGGGTGATGGAGAAAAGCTAAAAATAGGTCCTACGGAGAAGGTTGGAGAGGATTTCTTTGTATTCCATAGCAAGGGTCTCTCTCTCACTCTCCTGAGGTGCAGAGGAACAGATGAGCCAGCTGCCCTATATAAACTCCAAGTTTCCCCAACTTTGGGGTTCTTCTATGCCTCAACTCCTGTACATGCAGGGGATACCAAGCCCTCATGTTGCTTCATGGCTATTTGGAGGAACGGGTAAGATTGCTTTGTGAGCTCTGTTCTCTTCTAGAGATTTCTGGGCTCCTGTGGACTAATTTGTTAGCTTGCAAGCAGAAGAACATGTTAGACCTTTCACAGCTGTGAAAGATGAAGCTTTTACAAATTGTTTGAGCATTTTTAGTTACTAAGTATTTACTATGTTATCTACTGGGACATATGCTAGAAAATAAAGATGAATAGGATACAGCTTCATCTTGAGTTGGCCACGCTCTAGCAAGGGAAACATAGATACAAAGAGCTAATAAGTATATCACAATATAATGTGTCTCTATTAGAGAAATATACAAAATGCCCTGAGGGCTTAGAATAATTAGTAAGAATACATTTTTGAAAAGTAGCTGAAGTTAAAGCAGGACTTAGAGGACATATTAACAAATACCATAAAGAATTATTTTCTGGTTAAGAAGTTGAATAACCATTCATAACTTGTTTTTTCTACATGTTCTGAGAATCTATGATCAAAATGACTCAATGTAAAAACAAAGAATTATGGCATGCTTGTTAATGGGTCTAATGAAAGCTAACTCATCCAGCAAATACTCACGGAGTACTATCATGTGTTTATGATAAAATAATATGGTTAGACAAGTTTTTCCTCTGCCAAAAAACATACTGGCCCCTGTTCTTACTGGCCCTTCAAAGCAACTTGGACTATATTTAACACTATTACAAGATTCATTACACTGTAATATGATGGCTTATTTAGTTGTCTTGTTCCACACTAAACTCTAAACTTTCTGAAGGCATGGGTGATTACTTAGCACCAGGAAAGCTGATGGAAATGTTAAGCACATGCTGGGCTGTAGCTGATACCTCTAATTGTTCCCCCATATTCATTTTCTTTTTTATATATTAATACATTTACAGATATTTTAACTAGTCACATGGCTTCTCACCTCAGTATTTCCTTGCTTCTTTCACAGTTAATTGAATCTAGGTAATTAAGCTTTCATCATGGGTTGTGAGTAGAGATCATGGTTGAAATTTCTTTTTTTTTTTTTTTTAAGATTTTATTTATTTATTTGACAG